CACCCCCTCCCTCCCCAGTGCAAACTGCAAGGAACATCCCATAAATTACATCCCAAAATTACAGGAAAGCTTTCTTGAATTTCTTTCATTGGATGCTGCCCGGTCAGGCCACTGGCTGTCTGTCTCTGTGTTGTCTACATCGACTGGCAGCAGGATTTCAGGTGGACCTTTCCTAACACTTTATTCTTTTTGGCACCCTTTTTATTTTCCCATTACTTTAAGCTCTAATTTTTATTTTAGTCAGATTTTCAAAATAGATATGATGCTGTGCCTTTGTTGTTGGACCATCCTGAGACTTTTATGTATAGGATGGAATACAGATGTTTTAAATAAATAAGCAAACAAACAAACAAGTACATTGTGTTACTTAAAGTATGTATATTGTGCCCTCCCACTTAATAGTGCTTCAGTGTGGCTAACATTATTTGTTTTATGCAAATGTATGGTGTGGCCACTTTTGCAAAATTGGGCACAGTTCCTATGTCAGAAAGGATCTTGTAGGGCTGGAAAATGGGCAGAAATAAGAGACCATCATTATGAGGCTGGAGCACTTTTTGGAAGAAGAGAGGAACAAAAATCGGGGGGGGGGGGCTTAATTTAGAAAAGGATTCACTAGAAAGGGACAGAGATGTTTGTTTGTTTGTTTATTTATTTATTTTTCAATTTATATCCTGCCTTTTTCCTACAAAGGGCTCAAGGCAGCTTACATCTTCTCCTCCATCTTATCCCCACAACAACAACCCTGTGAGGTAGGTTGGGCTGAGAGTCTGTGACTGGCCCAAAGTCACCCAGTTGGCTCCATGGCCAAGCGGGGACTAGAACCCAGATCGCCTGAGTCCCAGTCCCAGGCTCTTCACCACTACACCACACTGGCTCTCCAGTGTTTAAATTTCTGCATGGCATAGAAAAAGTTAAACCGGTTAGAAAAGAGACAAGGAAGCGCTCCTTCATGACTTGGTGTACCATGTATGCCGACCAAGTACTAGCATAATGCACCTTCACTCCTTGATGGGCTGCTGATTTCGGCACCAATTGAATAGCCACTGAACAGGCTCTATGCACAGATTAACATGGGGGACGTTGCATTGATTAAGTCTCTGCATTTTGAGGTGTGCTTATGCTACTGTCAGTGCCATCATGAGCCTTATCACAAAATGGTGAACATGGATTTGCTGTTTTCATAAGCTGCTGTTTTCCTGGCAGGGATAATATGCCATTAACAGCTCCTTTCCAGGTAGAAATTCAACAAGTACAGTTTTTTTCTTTTTCTTTATGTGACAGAGGAAAATCCTCTGTTGAATTTAACCCTGTTCACATATTGCTGTTAGAAACTCAAGAAATCTGAGAGGGAAATGGTAGCATTTGGTAGATTTAAGCATTGCAGTGGATGATTGCAGTGACCAGCTGGGTGCCTTCAACTTTTGAACCCTTTCTAATAACTGTATATTATAGAAATAAGATGTTGGGTTTGTTTTAACAATTGCAGTCTGGAAGACCCTTTGAATCAGATGTAGCTATTCATATACTCAATTAAAGATGAAACTTGTTTAAAAATTGCCCCTTTCTCCAACATATGCAAGTCCCTTGGATCAATGTAGGTTCTCCATCAGTGAAGGGCTGCATAGGTCAGAGAAAGGACATTTGTTTGCAGGTGTTCCTTGCAGGTTTAATCCCCTCTGCATTCAGAAAATAGGATCCTAGACTCTCTTTGGAAGCCCTTCCCCATAATGCCCAGTGCATAGGGATTCCCAGGATTGGCATAGGACTGAGTGCTGTGTAAGGTTCACCACATCTGAAGGCCTTCTATGCAGTGGCCTTAAGGTAACAAGACCGTAAGCTTGGACTGGCTTATGGCTTGAATGAATGGCTTTCTCATTCTTCCTCCCAACCCTGTGAGAGTCTACAAGAGATTGAGGGGTGGAAGATAATGATCTGTGCCATGTACTTCCCAAAACCCAAAACATTTTAGTTGGATCTGGGTTCTCACAAGTCACCTGTCACTTGGAAGAATTTCTGTTGAGGAGCTTCTGGCACTTGTCTTGTTTCTCCCCTCCCCCATCCAGGGCCACAAGGCATTTTCTGAGCTCTGGCTTGTGTAAGAGTGAATCTGTCAATGTTTGGACAGGCAGGCCCCATCGTGGCCTGAAGCAGGACTAACCCAGTGAGGAGCATCCATCCAGCACTTAAACTCAAATTCCTCATTCCTTCACTCTGCCCTCAGGCCCAGCACTCCTTTGCTCTCAAAAACCACTATAAAATAATTGGCATTCAGAAGGTATGCTTGTTTCCTAGACATCTTAGGAATACCTGGTTCCCCCAAGAAGGCTCATTTGTGAGTGGATCAAATTCCAGCAGAGAAGGTGTATAATGGCTGCTTCATTTCTTACAAAGAATTTGATGTTTCACTGAACAATCTATTTTTATATATTTAAAAGAGATATATACTGTCTTTTGTCAGACCTTCCAGGAAGGTTTACACAGGCAAGATAAAAAACAAATGCAATATAACAAACAACAACATTAAAATCAAGGGAAAGTACAGTTATATAAAAGTAAAAAGTCTAGGAAAATAGAAATGTATATGCCTGGCACTGAAAAGCATAACAAGGTTGGTACTGGTTGGGTCTCCATGAAGAGAAAATTCCACAAATCTGCACCACTGCTGAAAAGGCTCAGCTTCCTTACTCTGGATGATGGGGGCATCCTGAAGAGGTCCTCTGAAGAGAACCTCACTACATGAGCAGGCTGGTGTAGGACTAGGCATTCTTACAGAGAGATGGATCCTAGGCCATGTTGGACTTGGAATTATGTTCAGAAATGGACCCGACACCAATTAACGTTCTTCAGTAATGGTGCGATATTCCCAAGGACCAGTTCCATTTAACAGGATGACAGCTGTATTTTGAACTAACTACAGTTTCCAGCAGTCTTCAAAGGCAGCTCCATGTAAAATATTTGACAGTAGTAAAACCTAGGTGTTACCAGAATGTAGATAATTGTGACAAAAGCATCTCTGCCCAGGAGAAGGCAAAGTTGATGTAACAGCTTATACTGCTTGAAGGGATTCCTTGGCACAGAGATGACCTGGGGCCAGCCCAAGACATTTTGATGCCTGAGGTGGAACTATGAATGGTGCTTCCCACCCAAGTCAAGGTAAACAATATCCAGAACCAGCCAGTTTATTGTGACACTTGAAATGGAAAGTCACACAAGCACCTCTCACCATCTCTGGCTGTAAAATACCACCACATTAAACCTTCGGCTCCTGTCCTTGCACAATGTCAAAATCAGCCACCTCTGGTGGTTGCCTCATTCTTCCTAATGGCAGGGCTACCCAAGCTTTCAGCGATGAAGCTGGATCTAGGAGTACCAGACTGCGAACTTGATTCTTGAGGAGGCATGCAAATCCAAACCTAACATATTAAGCTGTATCCTTCTGAACCACCAACCCGTAAAAGCACCACCTTGTCAGGACTGAGTATCAGAAGCATACTGATAGCACCTCACCCCAAACCCCAGAAAGACCTTCCCTAGCAGGTCCATGTAAGTATTAAAAAGCATGGTGGGACAGTACCTTGTATGTTCCTTTAACTTATATACCACTGGAGCAATCAAAGTTCTCCAAGCACCACCTTCCAGAATCAACCCTTTAGCTAGCAGAAGAAACGCTAACAAGTTCCAACCCCCAACCCAGAGATCTTACGCAGAAGTACACTGTAAGAGATTATATCAAAAAGCAACAGCTGTTTTTTCTTCTTTTTTCTTTTGAAAAAGTATTTGGTTCTGCATCATAACATTTTGTACAGATCCTTGTGCTGAGCTGAAAGTGCAGTCTCTGCCTGTGAAAATGGGAAGGCTTTTTCTCCATGTTCTAGGATCAGGCTTGCAAAATATTTCCAGTTTCTGGAATATGAAGATGAATTTGTTTGAAAAAGTATGGAAGCAGCAATGCTTTCTCCACCAATAATGACCCTTGAAAGGACACTATGTCATGATGTACCATCTTTTCTCCTAGGATAACACAGGGCAAAAGGAACACCACCACTACTTTTGTGTGGTGGCAAAAAAGTACAGGAAAACCTCCTATCTGCTGTTTCAGTTACTGCAGTTCCACTTAACCGAGGCTGACTGTGGTCTCAAAAGAAGATCCGATGCTTCAGAGCACAGCCTGCTCCAGGGGAGTTCATCCTGCGTCACGTTGCATCACATGTTCCGAATTCAGTTCCCGGTCCCGAATCCAGTGCCTACCCTTCCCGGGGGCAGCACACTGTTCCTGGCTGTCTGTGAAGAGACACAGAGCTGCCCATGTGGGTTTTCCTCCTCTCACCTGCCTGGTCCTGTGCACATCTGTGCAACTCTAAAAAAATCCCATTTAATTATTGATGGTAAACCTGTGAATAATCAAATTTGCAAATTTAAACCCACAAAAGTTTCAGCTTGACTGCATATAGTGTTCACTACTATCCAAGGTTTAAGGTCAAGGGTTCCAGCTCAGGGGCTTGGAACCCATTCCTCATGAATACAAGGATTCTACTGTATTTTTTAAAAATAGAAGCAGCAGCAGTTTCTATCTCTGCTGCTGACCATAACAAACATAAGTAATAGAAGAGCAATATTTGAGCAGCTTACCAAGGTTGAATGGCCTCATTATCCTGCACATCCTTTTTGTTTCTCCCCTTGAAATCCATGAATGTACTCAAAATGATCCACTCAGAAATCTGTCACAGCACTTGTTTAGTGGCAGGATACCTCTGCCAAACAAAAAGATGGAAACAAACAGAAAGGGAGTTAACAGCATCATACTTTTCTTATGAGTTTTGCAATGTCCCTAGCCATTTCTAGGGACACAATTCTAGCCTAGAAGAGTCCATCAAAAAATATTAGGTAGGATTCTAAGAAGTTGACTTCATAGAAGGAACATTTCCTGTCCCTTCCTCCTGCAGCCACCTCAAAAGCCTCTCTGCTTCTCTCTGCTGAAGAGGGGAGAGACTTGCCTCAAGTAAAGCTTGAATCCTTAGGAAAGTTCTTAAGAAGGTTCTCCTCCACTTTCCATCACAGCCTCCTCCATTTCCCTATTGTCCAGGAAGACCCTTGAACATGGATCACAGGGAAGAGATTTAGAGTTTCGTTAACACTCAATAGTCAAACTTCTTTGGATGTCCCTGATCCTTCCAGGAACTTCCTTAAGTTAACATGTCACAGGATCCAAGCCATTAAGGTTTTATGAGATCAAGAGTTCAGTCATTCAGTCTCTGTAAATGTCTTTGTATTGCTAGAGAGAATGAACAAAGGAAAATTATATATACCTTTTCAGAACCCTGACCTGATGCATAGCTCTGCTCCTTGCCCTCCAGCAGAAATTTGGAGAATAGATGCAGGTCTGAGATCCTCTTCAGGACTGGAAGCAATCCTCATTATTGTCTCTTCCACTGCCAACACATTTAGGAAGTTGTCAGAAACTATATATTCTGTGTACAAGGTTTTTCAAACTTACAATAAAATGCTGGCCTGACGTGGTTTTATTGCTCTGTTATTTTAAATTATAATACTGGCATTTGTTTCAAAATGATTTTAATGTATTTGTATCCCTACTTGGAAAAATATTTTGAAATATTTACCTATTGTTAAGGAATAATTAAATTAATAATAATTGTTAAGGAAGTTTTTGATGGTTGAAGGATGGTAGATGGTGATAATTTGCTGGTTTTCATTCTTGTTATAATGCTCTAGTCTTCTTTAAGGTTTGCTATATTTTAACATATTTTATGACTTTGAATGATTGGAATATATTTTGTAAAACCACTTCAAGAACCTTGTCTATGATAATAAATTAAACAATAAATAAAAAGAGTTATTTTCTGGAATAGCAACCAAGAATCTTGTGACAGCTGCACAGCTAACAAACTGTAAGTATTAGTCCTCAAAAAACTTGGGCAGGAATAAATTTGTTAGTCTTTAAGGTGCCGCAAGACTCTCTGTCACTTTTGCTTCTACAGACTGCGGAAACCGTTATGACAGAAGGCACTATTTTCAGGAGCATCTTTTTCAAAATGGCATTTTGATGCAGAAGCTGCTTCCAATACACAAGAGAAATAAGGCATGCTGTGTGTGTTTACATAGATACTAAAACCAGATAGAGGGTCAGCAAAGAAAATCTGGTTCCTGTCAGAAGTGAAAAGCACTTTGCTAAGCTCAGCATGATATTTGAAAGCATTTGCTGGCAATTTTATTGCTTTTGGGTGGTGATGGTCCAGGGGAGGATGTGCATAGTCTTTGGGTCCTTCACCGGTTCTGTGATCCAGCATGGCAATTCAGAGGCACTCTGATTAATAAATCACATCTAATATATAGAATTATTTGATATAGTTAAAGTCATTAACATGGAAAGCCCTTTGCTACAACTTTTAAATCACTGAAAGTGTCTTAGGCCAAAAGAGAGAGAGAGAGAGAGAGAGAGAGAGAGAGAGAGAGAGAGAGAGAATGAGAGAGAATCTATTTTTGAGGCTTGAAGGTGAAAAGCTGATATGAGGGATTTATACCAAGAACAAAAGGTGTGGCAGCTCTCTCTCTTGTGAAAGACTAGCAGAGAGCCGATCCTGCGTTCTGTTGAATACACAGTATATCTGCAAATCACTCAGACAGAAATTGTAACCTTTGCCCTCAAAAGTTAACAAAATCTGTTAATGTGCAATACCTTTTTGCCATCAGATGCTGTCTGGGATGATCCCACACAGGAATAACCTGAGGACACATAAGACAAGCCAAAGCAATTCTCTCTCTCTCTCTCTTGTTTACAATACAACAGCTTTGCCTCAAACAAAACTCCCCCACCACCTTCCATCCATACTGCTCCATGCTCCTGGCAATTGTTGGCTCTTTGAGCCAATTTAGCAGCCTCAATCTTTCCCCAGAACATCCAGCTTTCTTGAGAGGTGTGCCAAGTTGCTGCACCTGGGGTATACAAACAAATTCTGTTGGTACAAAATAGGAGCAACCATATCACTTGGCCTATTTCACTGGAGGAGAAGAGCAGGGGGCCCCTATTTGGACATTTGACCTAAGAATTCATAGGTCAGATTGTTTCACAGGACCACCCTGACGCTGTTCGATATTTCAGCTTTGCCAGAACTAATCCAGACTTATTTTCTGTTTAGATGACATGTGTGAACCTTTCTGAACACTATTTCTATAATATTCCCAATAGCTTTCACCAACCTGGAGCCTCCAGATGTGTTAGACTACAAATCCCAACACCCCCAAGCAGAATACCCACTGATCATGCTAGCTGGGGATGATGAAAGTTGTGGTCCAAGACATCTGGGAGGTACCAGGTTGGGGAATGCAGAATTACAATAACTCTGTAAGATAAGCAACTATTGCTATACCCTTGATGTCAAGGGGTGTCTTGCAGGGAGAACAAGAGATAGAAGCTTGCCTAAAGAGTTCATCCATGGCTGAGATGAGATTCTTGGGGGGAAGGGTTAAGAGAAAACAGCTCAGAAATTCTCACTTGGATATACAGACTGCAATTCTAATGTACACCAACTTGAGAGCAAGTACCATCATACCATTGCATTCTCAGTTACCTTGTATAGGATTGGGTTGTCAGTCTGCCCTCTATCAGACTTCGGTGGTCTCATGGAAAAGAAGAATCCTGTTTGTGAACGAATTAGTAAAATAATTTTCTAGGGGGTTATGGAATTATTATTTTGCTATTGTGAACTCCAGGGGATGGTGGAGGACAGGATTGCCTGGAGGAATGTTGTCCATGGGGTCATGATGGGTCAGGCACAACTAACATAACATTGAATTATTGTCTAATACAGGAATATATCATTGCTTCTGAAATATCATTGGTCCTATTATGTAAACTGTACCATGGCCACAAGGCTACTGTTAGGACAAAATATGGAGAAACAGCATGGTTTCTTGTAGACAAAAGTGTCAGGCAAGCATGCATTTTATCTCCCTATCTGTTCAATCTGTACATAGAACATATCATAAGGAAAGCTGGATTAGGATCAGAAGGAGTAAAACTTGGGTAAAGATGCATCAGTAAGATATCTTTGTTCATCTAAGCTTGTGTTGTTTATTTTAGTATGCTCTGTTTCACATTCTTTTTTATGTACTTGTTTATGTTAAGAAAAAAATTTTCAAGAAAGTTAAGATATGCAGATGATATCGTATTAGAGGAATTGAAATGACTCCTGATGAAAGTGAAAGAAGAAAGTGCAAAAGCATGACTGCAACTGAACATTAAGAAAACAAAAGTCATGACTACAGAAGAGTCACACAACTTTGAGTCAACAGTGAAGAAACTGAGATTGTGAATGATCTTGCATACCTCACTTTGGACATGCACATGGTAGGCATGTCATGAGTGGATTGGCTGGAGCTGAGGGTCAAACTAGATGGCCCAGGAGGCCCCTTCTGGCTCACTCTGTTTCTATGTTTCTATCATCAATTTTAACAGAGACTGCAGTCAAGGGATTAGAAAAATCCCAAGACTACTTGGAAAGGCAGCAATGAAGGAACTAGAAAAGATCATCCAGTTTAAGGACATTTCACTGCAGACCAAGGCCAAGATCACCCACAATATTGTATTTCTGATCTCTGTGTACGGACGGTGAAGAAAGCTAAGGAGAAGAATGTTGTGTTTGAAACTCAGTGCTAGAGCAGAGCTTTGCAAATCCCTTTCCTATTTTTAAAGGAATTTTAAAAACCTGTGTGCATACAGCATACATTTAGTCTGTATGCTGTGGCCCTTTTAATTCTTCTTATAGATGTTTAATTCATAATGTTTTAATTGGTTTTTAATCTGTTTTTACTCTGTTAGTATGTTTTATAAACTGATTAGGAAGGTCTAGGCAAGTATAGGCAGCCTATAAATACATGTAATAAATGAATAAATAATTCCCAGGGCTGTCAAAACAAGACTTTGCAGAGGGCACTTATTTATAGAGTTGTCATAAGTTAGAGACAACTTAATGGCACATAACAAAAACAACATCTTCATTTTTAATTGACCAAAATTTTGAAATGGTCTTGCCTAAATCATGGACTTTGGAAGACTCACAAATTCATCCAGTTAAATTGTTACTGATAATGGGTATCCATTCTCACAGCCATCAATACCTGTTCCCATTGCTGGAAGGAGTAAAGATTTGTGGGAAGGAAATAAATGGGGACATTCCCTTAACTGCTGCCCCCCACAATTGCACCCCTGCCCCATGTTTCCAGAAAACCAATAACTTCTATATCTTATACACATGTTGGGTGTAAAGAAATGTGCTTTAAAATGAAAATGGACCAATTTGTTGCTGTATAATAGGGAGTAAGCAAGAAATTGAGTGACTAGGATTGAGAATGTGGGGATAAATAGCAGGGCAGCAGCCAGCAAATTGGGAGTGGAGGGGCACCTTACCCACCTACTGCCAAAAAGTGGCAAAAAAGCTAAAGCAGCACAGTCAAAAACTAGGATTATAAATTCATTTCCTTGCAGGGATGGGGACTTGTTAGCAGAGCATTCTGTCTCTGCTACTTCGGCAATTACTCTTGTACATAGATGAAACAAATGACATTCTGCTCTCCCTCCTTTATAAGTGGCCAAGCAGAACTCATCACCAGCCTACCCATGGCAAGGACACCTACTGTATCCTGCTGCCTGACAATATCCTGAAATTGTCTCCTTGATCCAACACAAGACAAAGGCCTTCATCACTTGTCCCAGGCTAGAGAGATTTCCTGGTGAGCAAGTTGGCACTTCTAGGGATACAGCAGTTCCTGCAGCCCTCACTGCAGCTTGGCCTCCAACCTGGCCTAGTGTTACCCCAAGGTACCAAGGCAGGCAAAGCTGAATAAGAAATTCCTTGTGAAGAATTCTAGCTAGGGTGTTGCCTGAGCTGGAGGTGGACCAATCTGTAGCGGCCCTATTACAAGACCAGGAACATCATTTCCAAGCTGCTTGAAGGCTTCTTGGGACCCGGGAGGGGCAGGCAAACAGGATGGGATGGGGCGGGGGGAAGGATGAACAAGGAATGTAGAAGTGGTTACATTAGTGGAAAGGTAATTTCCTGTAAAATTCTCTGTAAGCTCTCAATTTGACCTGTGGCTGAATAATCAGAGCCACTATCTCCTTAATCTATTAGTAGTTGAAGGTCATGCTGCATATTTCCTGAAAGGCAATTATCTTCAGACTATCAAAATACCAAGAAGGCATTTTAAAATGACCCAGAATTTTTGGCTCGCATAAAGCACTGTGCACATAAAAGCTGCCTTGCTTGAGCAGATCAGAGATCCGCCTTGTTCAACAGCAGTTAGCCAAATGCCTCTACAGGCGTTCATAAGTAAGACATGAAAAGATGCCTGTGTTTTTTTCACTCAGGCAAAATGTGTCCAAAGCTCACAGAGACTGTCCGAAATTCCCCTTTGCCCTCCCTATCTAATATTGGCGTTCCTTCTTCCTCGTTGCCTATTCTCCTGCTGCCACGGTGTCCCTGAGGACTAAAAGTGATGCTATATTAAATGCGGGCAACCTGCCTGCCCTGCCATTCCCAACAACAGAGCAGCGGTGTGCAAGCGGACTCCTGCGCGGAGGGAAGGGACGATGCTGTGTGCGGTCCTATGCCAGCTTGGGCAGCGAGAAGTCCTACAATTCCCAGCGTCCCCCGGCCAACCATGTTGGGGATTGTGGAATTTATTTCTGGCTAAACAGGCGTATGACTGCTTGCACCCGAACTCCTCCTCCCCGCCGTTGCCGCGGTCCCACTGCAAATCGCGCCGCTGGAGCTGCTGCTGGCCCCAGAAGGGACGCTCACTCGGGCGCCACTGCCCGCAGAGTCCGCCGTCCCGCGCCATCGCCCTCGCAAACCGAATTCGCAATCGAAAGGGAAATTCAGCCGCTACTCATTGGCTTCTCTAGCACATTTTCGCAATTCTCAGATCGTAACTGGAAAGCGAGAGCACACTTAAACCCCAACCAGCTCGCTCAGGCAGCGCTTCGTGAAGGAATAAATGGAAACACCGCACGTGACACCAACAAAGCTCAGAGCAGCCACCGCCGCTCTTTTATACGTGCTGCTCAGGCAGGAGCAAGGACAGCCTGCTCGCCCGTGGCGTCACAAGCGGGCCTTTCGGAAGCCGGAAGTCGGAAGTGCGGCGTTTCGGGTTGGGTGACGTGTAAGAGCGCGCTCTGGGAGTCCAGTCCAAGTGGATGAACGGCAACCATGGAGGGGCTCTATCACCAGACCTACAAGTGCGTGCGTGTTTTGGGGGGTGGGTTGTAGCCACGGGAATTTGTCGGGGTGGGTTTGACGTATACATAATTGGAAAGTTGCGGGGAAGGCGTGGGTAATAAGGGGTGGGAAGTAAAGAATGCGAGGTAACTATGGAAGCCGAGGCAGCAGTGGTACTTAGCACGTACACACACTATGTCATTTCCATAATCTTATAATCTTTAAATCAACTCTGAGAGGTAGGTCAATAGCCTTATCTCCATCCAGCCATGTGGGGGGAGACTGGGCAAGAGCTGAGCTTGTTTGTTTTTTAACCGCTTGAATAATTCTCTGGGGAGCAGCTATGTTAGTCTGTTGCAGCAAAGCAGCAGAGTCTTGTGGCACCTTAAGGACCAATACATTCATTATGACATGTTTCATAGACTCTGCCCATTTCATCAGAGTACTACCGAGTACTTGTAGCTTTGGAAAGATGGCCTGGGTGCTGGTATCATCTACTGGTTCCTGGTCCTCAGTCTAACAAGAATGCCCATTTGGTAGGTGGAGGAGTAATGTGTTGATCAAAAAAAGGAAACAGAAGAGTAATAGCTTTATTTGCAGCAGTTAGTCAGACTAATGAAACAGCATACTCAAATGCAGTAGCATCTGTGAAAACAGTGGTTGGTGTTCTGATGCACTTTTCCGATTCTTAGGTCAGTCTTTTAGCTGCTCTATTGCACCAGCAAGGAAGGATGTTGTTTCACCTGTACGTTTTTCTTCTCATGATGCTCCCACAAAGCCTTTTAAGTGATACCTTGTACTTGAATGTAGTGCAACAATTAAACATGCATCATTCTGGAATAACCATTAATATTCACAGAGAGCTGGTGAAACCAGACTTCTCTTTAGTATCAACTGAAAAGCACAAAGCAATGTGCAAACTTCAGCATTATGTTTTCATTGTGACTGCTAAACAGAACAGGGCATATTCGAAGAAGAAGAAAAAAGACTGAGTTTAATGGAAATATCTTTAGCTTGTAATGGCAAAATGGAACAAGCATTTTGTAGATCTGTAGTGCACTCATGGGGACGGCAGAGAATGAGGTGGGTAGATGGGGTCATTGAAGCAGTCAGTGTGAGCTTAAGTGGACTCCTGGGGATGGTGGAGGACAGGAAGGCCTGGAGGAATGTTGTCCATGGGGTCGTGATGGGTCGGATGTGACTTTGCAACTAGCAACAACAACAGTGCACTCATATGCACGCTTTACTAGGGCATAAGTCTAAATGTATCAATTGGGACTTATTTTCAAGTAAGTTTTCATAAGATGATAACTTAGCCCTGTTCAGAAGTCCTTCATCTGTGAATGGTAGGAGAAGAAAGGGAGGCCACACGTAGTGACCTTTCCTTGATATACTATTGCCTAACAGCTTTGCCCTTTCTGACATTTGTATATTTAGGGAAGTTGTGTATCATTCTGCTGAATGTGTGTAGGGCCCTGTTGGATCTTCACAAAATTTAGGTTAGAGGAGCAGGACTTCCTGGAAGCAGAGACGTTGGAGGCAGGTCCAGCTCATGTGATTCCAGTTCCCCTCTGTAAATTGGACTTATGCTTGGGCAGTAATGTCTAAATTAGGACTAGTGTCTGCTACAAAAATATCTTGGCTTGCTTTGACAAATACTGCAACTTCCTTTATAGTTAAACTTTATTTAAAACTGCACAAGTAGTCCCCCAAAATGAAAGAAAAACAAAAAGGGCACTTTGTAGTGATAAAGTGGGCAAATTTGCTTGTTTACACATCATATTTGTCTGTTTTTGCATTATAGTGTGGTTTGCAATCCAATATCAGCAATGTACTAGGGATTAAACATACATGCACACACCTCTCTCTTCTGGTGTGGCTTTCGGAGCTAGGGTAACTGGGATGCATTAATGGCCCCCAGACCTCCCACAGTTGCCCAACTCTTCCTTAGAAACTAAGAAAAAAACATTTTCTATTAGCTATTTTATTTGTCCCAGAAATCCCTAGTACATTGCTGATATTGGATTGCATTTTTGTTTTCTGTATTTATATATGTGAACTTAATTACAGAATTCTTAAAATGTCACAAAAATTAAAATAAAACCCAGAAACTAAATTAGCGGTTAAAATGTACCAAACAGCAAATAGAATGTTCTCAAGTTATTTTTACTGGAACTTTTCAGAACAAAGAGCAATTAGGAGTGAATTAGACTGAAGATCACAATAATTTCCACTCTATGTATCAAGGAAAAAAATGTGTCACATGAAGTAAAAAAATAAAATAAAAGATTGCTATGCACCCAAAGCATCTACCAACATACCAGTAGACCTCTTGCTTGGTTGTCTGCATCATTCATCTAATTATCCTTAATGCATCAGAATTACCAATCTGTGGAATAGGATTCTTTTGTCATTTAATGTGTTACTGCTGTGAGTTTCTCTCTAAATAGGAGACATGCTTTGAAGCGTAACTCATGCAGAAACACAGGCATGGGCTGCTCCCATCAGGGCCATTCTTACATATTTACACTGTAAAAAGGGGATGGGCAGCTTTTGGCCCTCCAAATGATTTTGCCTGTAAGTCCTGTCACCTAAAAGTCAGCTTAGCCAATGTAGAGGGATCACTGGAGTTGTAGGAAAAACATTTGGGGAGCCACAAATCAGCTGCTCTTCTATAAAAGTCAGTGTTTTGAGATGTAAGATTGAAATACGCCTCTTGTTTGAATTTAGGGTCGAGGCTAAATTATGCAATTTGTTACATGGAGCTGCTCCTTTACCTTCGTTTTATGTTGAAGTAAACATACAGGTCCCAGACCCAGCTGGGGACCACTGTGGGGGGAATCCATGAATATCAGTAGGGACGTTAAAAAAAAAGTCTCCTCATCAGCAAGTTTGGGGTGGGGGGAGTGGTTGATGGGAAGGTTTGAATCTCATCCCACACGTGGTGGGCCCAGTCTGGATTGGGATCCTATAAGCTCACTTTGAAGTAAAAGAAAAAAATGAGGTTCAACTGCATGCGATGCAAGGTAGCATGTAATTTAACTTTCAGCTAGCAGTAATTAGACACTGATACAGGGAGAAGACTGTGAGAATTAGAAAGAGAGAATGAAATTTACTACTATAGGTAAATGGAAGAAAGGAGGAGGAAATGGTCTTTGGGTGATATAAGACTGGAAAAAATTCTCTGGGCAAGACAAAGTGGGAAGAATATGGGGGAACAATGAGAGGAAAGGCAGCAGGGAAGAGCAGTGCAAGGCTTGTGGCCGTGGTTGAGCATAGGAGGAAAAAGGCAAATATGGAAGGCAAAATAAGAAGAGTAGAAATGAGAAGCAGCAACAGGAAAGGAAGCAAAAAAGAAAAATGGTAGAGTAGTAGATGGACATAATGCACATCTGAGCAATCATGATAGGGCAACTTTTGGGAAGTAGGAAAGGGAGAGCTTTGTGAAAATTCAGAATTGAGAAGGTGAGTAGTTGCAGTAGCACGATAATCAAGTGATAGTTAACTAAGACTCTCAGGTAATCCTATGCATGACACTGGTAGCTTCAGAAGCACATTTGGTGTTTGTTGTATCATCTGAAATACGATTTCAGATGACACAGTATTTCAGCATCCTAAGTATGTCTCAGCACAGTTAAGAAATCATGGTTTGCTCTATGGTTTCAGCTTACCAAGATTGCTTGTGTCATCTGGAACTGGACAGCTCAACCCATCATGGTACAAAACCCCAGAACAAGATAGCTGCTTGGCAAGAGTGGCAGTTGCTGCTTCTGCCAAATGGCTAGCCAAAGAGTGATGCTGTTTGAGGCAGCTGTCAGAAGCATCCTGGCTTCTCCTTGTGGGGTAGTGCTGTTTCCGCTCATGGGCACCTGAGAAGAAAGCTGAGTGCCTGCTCATGCTCACAGCTGACAGACTTCCTCTCAGTTTGGGGCAGTCAGCTGAATGGTGAGCCAAACTCAGCTTTCAGTTGAGGCTGTCCAAGAGAGGAGCCTTATTCCTCTCTCCCCTGGGATACTGTCTAGAACAGCCTTCCCCCATCTGATGGCCTTCAGAGGCATTTGAACCACAACTCCCAGAATTCACATTCAGCAGGGGCCATTGATTGAGAATTCTGGATGTTGCAGTCTGAACATGTCTGGAAGGCACAAGGTTGGGGAAGGCTGGGGTAGAAGAATGAGATGAAAAGGAGGTGGAGGGAGAGAGGAAAGCAACTGTGACGAGCCCAGTCATCTGTCCAGTCATCATGGCTACTTGGCACATCACAGAAACCTATTGTAATTTACCATGAGTAGCTGTAATATGTGACCCTGCCCTCTCTCACATTTGCTTGGTCTGCACATGATGTTAACCATTCTGGATTTTTGTTGAATTCTGGACTTCTAATATGTGTGAACTCAACCTCACCAAAACAAAAAACAACCCTCCACAAAAAATATTATTGCTAACCATAATATTATTGCTGAAAAAGAACTGGGTTTGTTGGTGGATTGTTTAAACCATGGGTTGCTATTATATCTGAAGCCTGAATCATGTGAAGTTCATGCAAAGTTGTTTTGCCAAGTTACAAAGCTGGTTGGCAAAAGTGGGAAAACTCTGTGTGTGTGCATGTGCACACAAATACAAATATACGCTGGAATATGCTTGCCCTTTTCCAGAGCTAGCAGTAATGGCAATGGCTGTACCATCCAGGCAGATCATACTCCCTTCCCTTTGCTGCAGCTCAGAGTTGCTCTTGGCAGCACTGGGGGAGTTTTCAAGGGCTAGTCCCTGGGGCTAGTTTGTATCAGGCCACAGCTGGCTGGCTGAAACACAATTAGTAATTGTGTATAGGGAAGTCAGATGCTATCAGTAGTGCATGGAAAGCCTGTGGAGGTGGAGGGGGTTAGGGAAGGTAGAATGATAGAGGCTGGGAGTTGTGTATTTTTTATGTCCACTCCTGAGATCTTTGATCATGTAGGCTGGATATGGGTTTTCATCTGGAGTTATGTTTTCTTTGAAAACCTTCCTAAAAGTTAATTAAATAGAGATATGATGATATGCTGAAGCAAGCATTATACTTGTTTCCTCACATGGTGAAGTCAACTTGAAAATGAAACTGAAAATGAGCTGGATAAACTTGAAGGGCAAGGCTTGTGATATAAAGGGACAAGCCTGTCCCACTGTGTTGAAATGTCCTGCTGCTGCTAGCAAGAGTGAGGAGCCTTTCAGAGCTGACCCCAAGTGCTGGGTGCCTGGGAAAGACAGATACCTGTTAATCCCTGACTATAGTGACATACCTTTCTACTGTTTTTCCAAGGGGCTCTCTGATTTTTTGACTTGACTATGGGTAATTTTGCTCTCTGGGTTCAGACAACACAACATGGTGGATGTATTAAAGCCTACTACAAGCCATTGTTAGTTGGATTGGTTTATAAACCACCCTGTAGATAGACTGCTGGGTTCTGACAACACCCTAAACTACCATGGGTTATAAACCACCATGGGTTTTCATGTTGTATAAACCCAGTGTATGATATTCATTTTAGCTTCTCCTTCCCTTGCTTTTTTCTATCTCCATCTTTCCCCCACCCCTTCTGTCTACTGTTTCTTTTCTCCTCTCTGGCTTCTTGCTTGCTTGTATTTCCTGCATTTCTGTTTTCTAGCGTTCCCCACCTCTGATTATGCTTTCTCTGCCTGTCTGCCTTCCTTTAGTTCTCTCCCTCCCCACCCGGCAGTGGCAGCTCCTCTTTTTTTGTGCATGCACACACTGTTGCTGTCAGCACACCCCTCCTCTTCTGGATCTATCTCTGGTTCCTCTTTTTTATGCTCCCCACCTTTCTCTGGTCCTTCCCCTGTTCCTTTCTCTTTTCTCTCTCCACCTCTGCCCATTCCCATAGAATTGAGTGGCACAATTTCTTCATTCATTTGCATGGAGTAAGAGACGCTCCCCTGCTGAAAATTGGCATTGAGGGGAGTAGAAAGGTTGCTGCTATTCTTCCTTGGCAAGAAGAACTATTTTTCCCTGCACAAGTGAATAAAGAAATCACTTCATTCACTTGTATAGAGGAGGGATAGCTTGCTAGGTGCTTCAGCCTAGCCTTGAGGTCATTGTGGTTCCAGCCTGCAGGCACCGCACTGGGAGCAACTATACTAGGGCTTTGCTTCTGTGTTTGCATTGCATAGTCCCTTTGACTGTGTGCTTGCCTTCTTTCTGTCCTGACTGACTAGCACTCTCCCATTTTCTGCCTTTCTCTCTTCAACAGGCAAGTTCATGAAGTCCAGTCATACATGGGCCGCCTAGAGACTTCAGATAAGCAGTCAATCCACTGTGAGTAATTCATACGAGTGGCTAACCAAATTTTGATGGGGAGGGGGTGCTGTTTCCCTGAAGAAAACTCATGCCTGGAAAGATGTGCATAAGGAAAGTCATCCCTGTGCAAACTTTCTCCAAGCACAAATGCTGGGGTGGGTTTGTGGTGACTTCCTTCCACACATTGCAGCACTTCTGCTCAAGATCACTGCGGGGAGGCTTTGCCTGCACTCCCTTCCCAGGAATCCTGCTTGGAAAGAAGGAGCATGGGGATGACTCCTTATGCACCCACTTTCCCATTACAAGGTAATCCTTTTCAGAAACAAGTGTGCTGGGGTGGTTCTCTCCATGTGCCCATTGCCCCACAAAATCGGGCTCCTGGCAAACAGACGAATCCCCGCATCCACCCTGTGAAGTGGAGGAGGGAGCATGTTTAATTATTGCAAGCTGCCCAGAGAGCCCAGGTACAGATAAAATTCAGGCTGGCCTGAAGAGGCCCCAACCATGTTGCTGAGGGGAGCACACCACACACTTGTCTGTCTTGCAAGCATCTGCAGCCTTCAGATTTCAATATACTTCTTTGAAATCCTAGTTGCAAAGTAACTGATCAGTTTTGTATGAGTGAATGTTTCTATCTTTAGAGAACAATCAGGTTTTTTTTAAATAAAAATATGCATTTACTCAGTGAATTACATTTTGTAATGAGTTAAGATTTCTTTAAATATGAAATCCCTCCAACTAGTCACGTTTGTTATAGAGGTGGCACTATCTATTAATAAGCAGTGAAGTATTCCCATATGCTTCAAGATGTGAAGCTGAAGTGATGGAACATTTTTTCAGCCAGGTTGCCATGGCCATCACTTTGCCCACTGAGCCCTGTGATGACACGAGGTATTATGGATGGGGTTGGAAACCTTCATAGGCCCACCCATTTCCTCTGGTACGTAAGCCCCACTCAAGTCGCTGCACTGTCATCATTGCGTTTGGACAACCAAATCTCATTTGTGCACCCACAGGCACGCCCTTTGTTCCCACTTTGTTTCCCTCTTCAGGTGAATAGGGGAAAACTGTAGTCAGCCATAACTTTCGATGACATCCCAACTGGAGAACTATGGCTGAAGGTTTCTGAACAAGCCATCACTGAATACCTGGCCTCCAAGTCCTGTCTTGCTTGGAAGCCATTCTACGTAGTGAAAATCATAGTATTTGATGGGGGCAACCCCCTGCACAGTGCAGAAATACCATATAAAAGATCCCTGACAGATGACTCCAGTAGTCTAACCCATTTTGAACTTATTTATGTCTTCTAAGATACTTGCTGTCCCACCCAGGTTTGTATCGTCTACAGATTTGTGAAGCATTCCTCCCACCCCTTTCTCCTCCAAGTTATTAATAAAAATGTTGAAAAGTGTGCAGTCTAAGAGCATGTGCTGCTGCACCCTACTTAATACCTCCCTCCAGCTATGGTTGACTATTGCGTCCTTGTTTCTTTTGCAAAGTTCCACAAAGGGAGGAGAAATAAAGTGGAGAAGGGGTAGCGTGTGTGCATTACGCTCATTAATATCTAGGTTTGTTAAGCCCAGATTGCACCATCCAAATGTTGTCAGTGTATGTAGAGCTTACTGGCCAAATCAGGCATTGACCTGGGCAGAAAGTATTCTGCAGGTTAATATACTGAGCAATTATTTTTTGACCTGATACTACTTGTCCTGTTTCTTTTTCCTCTTCTTCAGTGGTAGAAAATGAAATTCAAGCACGAATAGACAGGATCTTCAGCAACCTAGAACGGTTGGAAATCTTTTGTAACAAGGAGCCTCCCAGCAAGCGGCAGAATGCCAAACTGTGAGTTGCCCTCCCATGTTGCTGTTTGTTGCTTGGAACATCTCCAGTATGGTGATCTGACATGTTGTCATAGGATGTTTTATTGTTATGCTGATGGTTTTGGTAGCTGCCTTCCCTGTGGCGTTGAAGGTACAGGGATATACATTTTATTACACGTATATGTGGCTACATCATGGGTCCTCAAACTAAGGCCTGGGGGCTGGATCCGGCCCACCATGCCCATTTGGACCGGCTGCACCCGCGCCCATGCATGCGCCCACCACCAGCCACCTCGCCCTGCACGCAGGGAGGCAGCAGTTTGCTCACTTGGAGAAAACCATCTCCAAGTGAGCAAGCCGCTGCCTCGTGCGCCTGCCTCGCCTCGCCTCGCCTCGCCTCGCCTCGCCTCGCCTCGCCTCTCCTCTCCTCTCCTCTCCTCTCCTCTCCTCTCCACACCCGTGCGTGTGCCCGCCCGCACCTCGCCTTGCCACACGCCCCGCCCCACCCAGTGCCCGTGCCCGCACACACTGCCCCCACCCCCTCACCAGCCCGTGTGCACCGCCAGCACCACCTTTCCGGCCCGTGCCCAGCACTGGCACCCTTCAACTGGCTGCTGAAAAAGTTCGAGGACCCCTGGGCTACATGAAGAGCTTACAAATAATTTTATCCCACTGATTTAATGCAAGTTGATAGTAAAGCTCTAAGTAAAATAACGTGCAGATCCCAAACATGAACAACCCTAAAACAAATGCAATACAGAACTCAATAAAGATGCACTGCTTGCAGAATGAGCTGATCCAGGACTGTTCCATAAAGGTTTGGCCACTGTACAGAAGATCCTGTTTTGAATTGTCTTCAGCTTTGTTTTCTTTCACTGAATGGTCTTTAAGCCAATTCTCTGTGCTTGAGAGGACAGATGGGCATCTTAAGTAAACCTCTTGGAGAAGAACAATAATCACTGAATATTATTTTGGCTTACCTTCACTTTCCCAGCCCAAGGTAATCTGGGACCTTTTGCCAGTCGTTGCTACATATCCCTGGAAAAAGGGGTCTTGGCTTTCAGGGCTGAGCAAGGCCTGACATTAGACCTTGGGGAGCTGCTATTAGCCATGGGGGAAATGGTCTTACTTGGCAGGAAGCTGTTTTTTGTGACCATGTGGTGAAGCTGCTAGTTTGGGTCCAAGCTATTTTCCCCGTATCCACTGAAGCACAACTACATTATTCAAAAATCCAGCCTTCTTTAGCTGATCCCTACATTGTAGTTTTTGAGTTTAGCAGATTTCTGTGACTTGTGCTTTCAGCCGAGTTGACCAGTTGAAATATGACACCCAGCATTTGCAGACAGCACTGAGAAACTTTCAGCATCGACGCTATGCACGGGAGCAGCAAGAGAGGCAGCGAGAGGAGCTTCTGGCCAGAACATTCACGACTAACGTATGTCTTAACCTAAAGCCAGGGGGGTTTTATGCTGAAATTAGCTCTCTTTCCTCTCTCGCACCCTTTTCAAATGTTGACAACCATAGTTCATAAACTGGGAGTTGTGAAACCTAGAGGTTCAGCACTGAAAACATCAATAATGGTGGTCATACTTCCAATAAACACAACCGCTCAGTCACTGCCAGTCTTCTCCCATAATACAAAGGTTTAGTAGAATGTTTGGGGCATATGCTTTAGGGCACATGAGGTGACAGCTAGAGCCAGCTAAAGTTTGCTGGTCCACTGTGCAAACATATCATCTTTGGAATATATAAATTAATGTCTGGCAGGGAGATTAATATGCAAGAAATTCTGTGCAGGCAGGACATCAGAGCTTCATTGCTGCAGAATAGTGTTGGTTTCATATGGTTTATGCTGACACCCTTGTCCTTTTGGGTTCAGAGTGTGAAGGAAAGGTAACCAAGATACTTCCCTTTCCTCCCCTCCTCCCCCTTTGCAGGATTCTGACACCACCATTCCGATTGACGAAACATTACAATTTAATGAATCCCTTCAAAATGCGCACCGTGGCATGGATGATCTTCTTGGCAGCGGAACCAGCATCCTACAGGTCCTGAGGGATCAGAGAGTGACATTAAAGGTGGGCATAGGATGGGGCCTTGAGCTTTTTAAAAAATGTGTGGTGACTGGGCACCCAATATTTTTGTAATCCAATGAAATTTAGAACAGGCAGATCCTAATGTAAGATTTCTTTCTGTCTCCTCCACCTCACTGGTTACCCTGCTCTGGAATTGCATACAACATAAATCTACAGTGCCTCACAGAAGTATTTGCTCCACTGGACTTTTCCATATTTTTTGTACCAGCTGGAACTGAAATAGATTTGTCATTATTACCAATTTGGGTGGGCAAGACACTCAACACTGTAAAGCTGCAAAATATTTTAATTGTGGCACAAGAGTTAAATTTAAAAAAACTGGCATCTTTTGGTTGTATAAATAGGCATTTTTGGCAGCAATTAAAGCTGTGAGTCTCCTTGGGTAAGTTTGTGTCAGTTCTGTGCATCTGATTCCAGCAATGTTTGCTTGTTCTGCCTGGCAAAACTGCTCCAAGGGGAGCATGGATGGGAAACCACAACTTTCAAGTCTTGCCACAGATTCTCAATTGGATTGTGGTTTGACCTTTGACCAGGCCATTCTAAAACATTCATGGTCTTGTTTTTAAAGCACTTTGCTGTTACTCTGACTGTGTGTTCATTCTCATTGTCCTACTGGAAGGTGAACCTGTTTCAGTCCTGCACACTGAAATAGATTTTTCTCTAGAATTGTCCTGTGTTTTGTTCCATCTCTCTTGCCTTCAGTCTTGACAAGTTTCCCAGTCCCTGCTGAGGAGAAGCATCTACACGATACAGTGGTTCTACCAGCACACTTCATCATTGAGAAGGCAATGAGCGCTGCTGCCATTGCCCCACACACTGGTTTTGCAGCATGGCCCAAAAGTTCAGCTTGGCCTTATCGTATTTTCTGTGTCTCCCACATGCCTTTTTGCAAAGTCCAAGCAGATTCTGATACGGGTTTTGTTCATCATGGCTTTCTTCTAGCCACTCTTTCATGAAATCCAGCTTTCATGGACAGTCTAGGGCATGGGTCCTCAAACAGCGGCCTGTGGGCTGGATTCAGCCCGCCATGCCCATTGATCCGGCCCACCATAGCTCGCCATGTGTGCATGCACGGTGAGGTGCTGGCTTGCTCACAAGGAGATCGTTTGGACTCACTCGGAGAAAAGGATCTCCTTGCGAGCAAGCCAACGCCTTGCTGGAGATCTTTTTCTCCGAGCGAGTCCAAAACAATCTCCTTGTGAACAAGCTGGCCCCGAGGCGCCGGCTTGCTCGCAAGGAGATTGTTTTGGATTTGTTGGGAAAAAATGATCTCTGCATACACATGCCCCTGCCTTTCTGTGCGCATGCCCCCCCCCCCATCCCTGGCACCTTTCAACTAGCTCCCTATTCAAAAAGCTTGAGGACCCCTGGTCTAGGGGAAAGTTGTCTCATGCATGGCATCTTCCATCTCAGCTGTGGAGTTACTAGTTGCTTTCTTTGATTAATGTCCTGGTCACTGAGCTTTGATTGGGCAGCCTTCTCTAGACAGAGCTGCAGTTGAGCCATATTCTTTCAATTTTATTACAATGGATTTAATGGTACTCTAGTGTTCATAGTTTGGGATATCTTTTGTATAGTCCAACCCTGATGGGTGCTTCTATGTAACTTTATCCTGGAGTTTTTATAGTTCTTTGGTCTCCACGATGCTATTAGGTACATTTTCCAACAAACTTTGGAGCCTTTCAGAAAGGAGGCAGTGCTTTACTGCAGACCTAGGCATGTCACAGCAAAAGGGGTAAATAGTTACACGACCAGCAAAGTGCCAGTTTATTTTTGTCGATTTTGTGCAACAATAAACATATTTTGTATTTTCACAATATTAAGTACCTTGTGTACATCAAGTGGTACCAGTGCCAATTAAACCCATTTCAGTTCAAGGTTGTAGCACAATAAAATGTGGAAAGGCCAAGAGATGGGGGGAATAACTTCTGCAAGCTGTTGTATCTCAGTCCTTTTTTTAGATGGTTTTGGCAACATTTTGACTCTTGGAATCTGCTGCGGCAACAGTTTCCAAATCCTTTAGGGAACCTCAAATTTCAGAGTGTGTGAGCTTAATTCTGTGCTTCAATATAAGCACATCTGGAATTGAGTCTTGCAAATTTGCTTCTGGAAAGGAAGCCATTTTCACTGTTACAATGTCAGTAGTGGAAAAATCATAGCTCAGTGATAGAACAAATACAGGAGATACGTAGGATGTCCCATATTCACCTGTCTGGTCCTGGTATCATTAGTTCAAAGGGTCAGGAGGTCCAGTGCTTGAGATTGAAGAGCCACTGTCACTCAGGATAGACAGGACTGAGCTAGATGGGCAGACAGTTCAGGTTCAAGGCAGCTTCCTGTGATAATGTAGCAGAGCTCACTGAGACTCCAAAGGTCATCTCTTCTGCTCCAAACCTGTCCTGAAAGAGGATCCTCCATGCCAGTGGTTCCTAAGGAGGTATGAGGTTTCTCCCACTTTGCTTTTCTTACTGGCCCATCTGTGCTTTAATGACTCCCTCCTTAAATCTGCTATTTCCTGTTCCTGCCCACAAATCCTTCTTTCTCTGCTTATCGCTGGCTCTAATTTACTTTCTACAGTCACCTTTTGAGCCTTCTTCCCAATTCCCCAGCATCTCTGTGCCAGCCACATGCCAGTCTCCTATCAACAGCACATAGCCTCTCCTGTGCCTAACCCATGCATTCTTTTCTCTCCTTTTCTCCCTCTACCGCCCCAGTCCTGCTGTCGAGGCTAAATTCTCAAGAGTTTTTATAGCTGCTTACACAAATAACATTTCTGCAAAGCGGTAACAAAAGATGGTTGCTTCTTTGTAATGGGTGAAAACTTGGTCCTCATAGCACTGGTCTTCAACACAACTCTGTTGCCACTTTGACAAATTGCATTGCAAGAGCACTGGAGCCACTGTTATTTAAACAAAGGCTGAATTCACACAATGCCCCAGGGCTGAGTATTAATTGACTGTGAGTTGCATTCAGTGGTGGGTTCTTGAAATGTGTTTTGTCTGAACCCAATTGTGATAAGAAGCCATTGTTTGGTAGCCACAAATAACTCATGAATAGAACCCATGGTTTGTTGTGGCTTAAAATGTGAACTCTGGGTTGTTTGTGGTTAACAAACCATGGCTTGTTATCATGTCTGAGTTCAGCCAGTGTTACAGCGACCCACATTTCAACAACCCACAAGCAGTAACAACCCACACTCAACCCTTGAGTTTGGATTATCATTTGTGAACTCAATTGATATGTTTCAGTCAATAAATATAAAGCATCAGGATGAGTAATTGCTTACAATTACAACAAAAGTTGGAACACCAAAGACAAAACTGCAAAATAAATTAAACAGAAGGTGCCACCATTTTTTCTTTGTTTATGTACATTTAAAAGCTTGAGCAGCAGCAACATATATTTGCACAAGAGATGGGAATTCTGAGAGAGAGAAAGGGGAGAGAAGGTGAAAAATGGGTATATAACAGGTACAGAACTTCTGGAACATGGATCCCAGTTCAGCCAGTGGCACTGGCCTCCAGTCTTGCACACACAGTCTCTTGGGGTTCTTCCAAATTTTCATTCCACACTCCCCAACCAGAAGAATTCCACTGGAGGGCTTCCAATTGTTGCTGTCTCTAATCCAAAGAATGTGTTAAGAATGGGATGTCTCTGCTGGCACAGAATCTACATGGTGATCACAGATTTGAGATAGTAGCTGTGGGGGCGAGGGGCAATGGTATTGTGACAAGCCCACAGCAGGGAAAGTGGATGCTGGGCAAGTCCCAGATTCCCTCATCCCACTGCTAATTGGGATGTAAAATCAGCCAGCAGCAGCGAGGAGTGGCATGCAAAGCTGCTGAGTCCACTTTGTTCCTCAGTTAGAGTAGCAAAGGCGACTCAGTTGCTTTTCCTTCACTGGGCCCCCAAGCTTTTCACATTGTGCACAAGATGTGGGGCACATGAAAATGAGGCGCGGCTGACCTAGCCTCTGTTTTTTTGGCCTAATGTCATATGGCCCATGAGAGCAGGAGGGCTCATCTTGCTTCCCCCACAAGTTTCTTTACCCCTGCTGCAGAGGGTTGGAGGCCGCTGCTTACCATGCACTTTTGAGTGGAAGATACCAAAGCCTTTGAGGCATCTGCTGTATTGATTTCTCGTTCACTAATGTTATCGATTTTTTTGTCACCTTCAGGGCACTCACAAGAAAATCATGGATGTTGCCAACATGTTGGGCTTATCCAATACAGTCATGCGCCTCATTGAGAAACGTGCCTTCCAGGATAAGTACTTCATGATTGGAGGCATGCTTGTGACATGCGTTTTTATGTTCCTTGTGGTCCAGTATCTGACGTGAGTGGTCAGAGAACTTGCCAGTGAACTGTGTTGGACTGACTTTCTTCATAGACTTCCAGCTCAACTGTGAACCTCCTGATTTCTGGATTGGTCATGATTTCTGTTTGATTCATGTGATGCTCAAGTTTGGTGGCATATATGAGTTGTGGCACTTGGTGCTAAGTGGTACGTATGAAACCACATAAACAATCCGAGTTAATGTCATTCTTCAGTCATGTTGCCTATCTGATGTTCCAGTTTAGTGGACAACATGGCTTGTGATGTACATGCGCTGCCCATATTTGTGGTCCCATTCATGGGGCCCTAGAACCCCAGTGTAATCATGAAGTCCTACAAGAAAAGTGCCCAGATGAGCTGGCCCATAATATCAAGGCTGTGGCTGTTCCATATAAGCCCGGTGAAAGCCAAAAGCAGCTGTACTTTACCATATTACGTAATGGCTTTACTATAACCCAGTGCTAGGAGGCAGGGAGAGCATCTTGTTTTCCATAATGGTTGAAGTAAATAGACATCCTCATAGATTTTTTGCGGGGTAGCGATGGATATTGTGTCTTGCCTTTTATCTTGGATAAGCAGATAATAAACACTGGTCTAATTACAAGGAAGTAACTCACTTCCAAACAAGTCATAGTATGAAATGTGTTCCGGGATCTTGTGATGGCTGGCTGGAATGAAGCCCTGGATGGGAAGAATCTAGGGACAAGAAGTGGCGCAATGTATGTGTACATACTTCTAGAAGAGGGATAATATGTTGGTAAGATCCTTGCAAAATGTTACTTAGAAAAGCATTTATTGTAATAAGGCCCAAGAGTCTACAGCATCTCTGCGGTGTTTGTCCCAGTTAACAGACAATGGCATCCTGCAGAGCAGTGAATTAAGTATATGCATTGTTTTTTCTAGTCCTCACAGATACAAAGGGAGGTATAACAAAGTAAAGACAGAATTTAATGACCTTTGCAAATGCAATGTATCATCTCCGGGATGGTTTTACAGGACTATGACTACAAACCTATGCACATTCTACAAGGGAGTAAATCCCATTGAACACAATGGACCAACTTCCTGGTTAACTGCATAGCACTGTTCTGTAAACATGCCCTCCCCCAACTTCTAGTATCTCTTGAATCCTATTCATTGCCTTCACTATGCACATAGTGATAACTAGCTGTAGGGACCCTGTTTGCTTGGAGGGTTTCTTTTAGGTAGCTACAGTTAAATGTGCACAAAATGTTCCCCTTGATGTAGACTCTGTAAACTGTAGGAATCCTGAGGCAGCTATTCTGTTCTAGCTACAAAATCTTGCTGGAACTTTTCTGGTTGCAAAGTGCCTCACAGTCCCACTCAAGGCCGTTGCTTGAAGCCTTTCTTACTTCAAATGCATTAGCACTAGTTTTCTGCCTTTCCCTGAAATATACATCATCATGTCACGTACAAATTGCTATCTGGGCCTGTTCCTTTATAACTCCTTATTTGATTCTTGCTTCATTCATACTGATATGAATAATGTTTCAGTTGGTATAAGCAGATTAAAAGCACTTCCAAACTAGGCTAGGTAAATATTCAACTTAGCAATTGTGATATCACTCTGCTTTTTGTTCTCTGGTATTTTAAACATATACTTGCCTCCCCAAGTTGAAGTTCATTTTCTTTCCTTTTCCTTGCCTGAAGTTGAGACGCTTGCTGAGACATCCATAGCTCTGGTGTCCTGCTGCACATTCATTTTAAGATAGAATCCCAACAATGAGAGTGTCTGTGATGCTGTTTTTGCTTTGTTTTTGTTTGGTTTTTCAGTTCCTAATTCTCTAGATTTTAGCTGTGTAGTGGTGGGCTGGGAGCAGGGGAAAATACTATGAGAATATGTGGACAGGTTCTGTAAAATATTAGGTAGTCCAAGAGTCTGGCAACCTAAACAATATTCTGCCAGACACAGACCTCTCTTCTTTGGAAGTACCCAGCTCTGTGCAACTTGCCTTCCACAGCCCCTGATTATGTAGGATAGACTAAAAGGGGCTGCAGTGATGTCATGAGTATAAACATTCAAGTTGATGCAGGGGGGCAGGATTGGATTTAATTGACTCTTTTTAAAAAAGAAGTTTAACAGCCTGATGAGAGCAAAGAGAGGAACTGGGCTTGTGAGCTACATTCAGTGGAGTTGTGTATATGTGTGGTAGGAAGGGATCCAAAAGCCATGAAGTCCCACACAATAACCCTCCTCACTCCCCTCATCAGCCTATGAAAGCCAGGGCACAGCAGACTATTGGCCAAGACTGAGATGTGAGAGAGAGAGAGCAAATTGTTGGAGTGAGTCAAGCAGGATAGTCAGCCTCTTGCTGACGAGGGCAATAACCCATCAAAGTCTAACTGCCACGTGGCCCATAGGACAGTTCTTCCCTGACCAAGGTGGCCAATCACGAGCTACATACATGACATTTTAGTGGACTGGCACCCCATATTGCTGAACTTCTTAACCCAAGTGGAGAGTGGGTAGTCATACGCCTTTTGACTTCATTGGACCACAGTGGAGGTGCCAAAGTTGTAATTTCAGGAAGTCCTTAATAAATGTTGTAGCTTGAACTTTGAGTTTAATTCCATAGATACCTCAGGAACTTCTGGATCTGTTAGTATAGGAAAAAACCCAATGAGCAATGAGGCAATTCCATGTGGTTAATTATTTCCCCGTTTGGCTCTCTTCCAATGTTTTCTAGGCTGTTGACGCCATGGAATTGACGTTTATCATGTGTAGTTTTAGGTTTAGATGATTTCAGAGTACAAAAGAAGGGAATACCCTTCTTTTAATGTTCGTTAAACACTGTGCTGGAGATAAGAACTTCTCCAGCTTGCCTTGCTTCCTCTTCAAATGGTTTATTAGTTGCTTTTGTACTCAAGACTGTTATACTCTCTAAATAGTCTTTTGGTAAACTAGGTCTGCCCTCTAGTGGTGGCAAATGACCTCATTCACTGTGCTGAAAGCATTTTAATCCTATGGCAGGGATCCTAGCCTTTATTCATTGACAGATTATGCATACTCAGACCTCCACAACTTCAGTCACAGGATTGACAGTGGTGACCTGGCATTTATTTATGTACTGGAGCAGGGAACGTACAACTGTATGAGTAAAGTGGAGAAACTGACAACTTCTGAAAGTGCAGACTCTCTCTTTCAGAATTATGCCATTGTCTTGTGCTGGGATGCAGCCCTGTGAGCTGGAAGAGGGTACAGCTGCTGTACATGCATGGATGTACACATCCAGAGCCATCTCCTGTTCACCCGTAAAACTATCTTAGCAGGCAGTCGGTATGAAAAGGGCATTGTGTGCCATTCTGAGTCAGAACATAAGGAGGATTTGCTTGGTAGATCTGTATGCTTGCATAACAGTCTAAAGTTGCATTTCATTAAACCTTGTTGTGGATGGATCATAGCACTAGATAGAAACAATTTCAAAGGCTTATCATGGTAACAGGAGAGTTGCCTTCAATGTGATACCAAAGGCCAAGGATGCCATTTTAGCTGTGTTTAAAAGGAGGAGTTTTGAAGTTGGCTGGATGGAAGGAGATGCGAAGGAAGAAGGGCCATTGTATCAACCCTGCTGAAAGACCTCAGTAATAAAGGTTTTTCACCTGAGCTGTAACCACTAGCAGTCATCCCAACAAGCTGTACAGAGAGAATGGGGCCAGTCCACCAGTCCTGCTGGTGAAAGAAAAGTTTCCCTCTCCCCCCCCCCCCATCCCAATTCCCTTTTCCTTGTGTGTCATGTCTTTTTAGATTGTAAGCCTGCAGGCAGGGGCTGTCTTGTTTAACTGATTATATGTAAGCTGCTCTTGGAACTCTTGGAGCCTTTTGGCTCATGAGGGGCATAACAGTATTTCAGATTAAATAAATATAGGGTAAATTAAAACTAGAACCAGCTACTCCAGTCTTGTGTAAAAAGATATTCTTTAATGTATAAAGACATGTGGCTATACATGTAAACCAAGTGCACACACCCACCAGAGATCTTTTGACACTGAACTATGTACATAGGAAAACTTGTTACCCAAAAGCTGAGAGTCAAGAGACCACAAACTAGATCCTGGAGACAATTCTTTCTTTTATTAAACACTCAAAATGAATGTAGCTGTCACATCAGGGGTTATAACAAAAAATACATCAACATCAAGGTGGTTATAAATCTTCAAAAATCAGAAGTCTACCTAGATGCAATAAGATATATAGAAAGTGTGTGTTAAAAAGGGAATTACGGAAGTGTGGCACCTTGGAAAGGACCACTGTAATTCAAGCACTGAGGAAAAGCAGCACTTAAAACTAGCCCTTGAAGGGGGATGCCAATACCAAATCAAAAATCTGTGAGCCTGGGTACCTTTCTAGCAAAGTTGGGGTGTGAGTTGAACCCATAGCAGTAGGGGAGAAGGAAGGTTCAGTATGACATGGTTTAATTGGGGAACTGATTTGGGGAGAACTGGAGGGCATAGTAGACTACATGGAAGAAAATGCAGAGCAGCTTAAAAAACAAAAGGGAGCTCCAGAGCCAAAGATTTTGATGGTGGGATGGAATATTAGGAAAACTCTTGTGAAACAATTACAAAGCAAGGTCTTCCTAACTCCTGATCTGTGAGTACTGAAAGCTCTGTTGAGCTCCTGGAAAAAGAAGGGGAGGTAGTGAAGGAAATGGAGGCTACTCTTTGGGCAGCTTTTTTGGATGGAAAGCACCCTTCAAAAACCCAGGGATATGAAGTGCTGATTTTATCTCTCACAAGTTTCAGTAATTACTAAATTTTCTTTTCAGGGTGCATTTCAGTGGGTCAGACATTGCCCAGTTTTCATGTAACAACGTGCCACCTTGGGTGATGCTGCTGTGGGTTTCTCATTGTGTTGGCGGCTGCCATGTTACTTAGGGGTGTGCCTTAGCTTCTCATTTCATGTGAACCTAGTGAGGGAAGGTTGGGTTCGTTTACAAGCCACCAAGAAGCTATGGACGGTTTTAGAGTGGCTTGTCAGCCACCCCAACATGCCCCAGCCATGCCAACATGGCAGCTTCTCTTTATGGGGGAACAAGGTCCTAGAAAGTTCGAAAAAGAAAATGGCCTTTTTTTCATTCTTGATATGAGGGGAGTATGGGGGAAAAGCTAGGTCTGCTGCTTTAATACCGCTGGCTGTCTTGGGTCCTGGTCAGATAGCCAGGAGGATCTTGTTGAAGGTTTTAAGGAAAGGGGCCTCCATTAAGGTATTGCCAGTCAGTTTGGGATGACTGACTTTATCCTTTGTCTCTCTCTAGGGATGAAAGTTGTCTCCCCACATCCTTTTCCAATTCAGTTTTGGTACAAAAAAGGTGTTCAACAAAGCACAATGGACCGGCCACAAAGTTTTCTTTGGGTAGCCACAGATGCAGGCCTGAATTAGTCTTTACAACTGTTCAGCCCTTCTACAAGACAAGAACAAGAGCGACCCCAAGTCTGTTTCCAACTATAGGCTATTTCTTTTCAAAACTGCACTGGGGACTGAGGGGGTGCTTTGTAACACTTGTGACTCATGTTGCTAACCATCATATTACAGCTGATCTCAGCACATGCAGGACCTTTGAAATTCTGTGTCATGCAGTATTAATTTTAGGACATTTTAGATCCCAAGCACCCACTTTTATCTTGGCAGGTGACTATTGGGTCTACACCAGTGAGCATAATTCTCCCCCTAGCCACTCTCCTCCAAGTTGTCTCAATGTAAACACCCTGAGGCTGGTCATGTCAAAGCCTCCCCCCTGCTGCCCCCGGGGGGGGGGAAGGAAAATTGATCTGAGGTCTCCACTTGAGAGGAATTCCTTGAATTAAATAATTACAATCCAGGTGTTGCGCTCATATGGTTATGAGGCCTAAGAGGAGGATGGGATTCTTGCCCCCTGGGAGGACATGTGTGGGGAAAAAGGTGCAGGTGTAAAAAATCGACATGTTTAAGGATGGGAAGGGTAGCTGATTTTCCTGAATACAGTGATAGTTTAAAAAGGTCTGTACTGGTATTCTAGGTAGAGGAGGAGTTTGTTGGACTTCTCCCTGATTGTGAAACTAGTGAGCTTAGCTGTGATTGTTCAGTGGAGCAAAAAGTCAACTGGCTTGGTTCTCATAGGAATTCAATCTGGTTCCAGACTTGGGTACTCCCTAGGGCAAATTAAACCAGGTAGGGTATGGGTGCTCTTACACTGTTATATAGGGCTATAGTTGATGCTGTATAATAGGTCAGGAATGTGGCAGCTATGGGCACAGCAACATCTGCCATGAGCCCCCTTGCACCCCAGGTTTCCTTTCCCTCTTCCTGTGCTACCACGACTATTGCGCCTATCTCCTCCTCAGGCCTGAAGTTTCTCCTGCCACTGCCTTCACTTCCTCTCCCTGCCCAAGGAGTCCTTTCCTTACTACTGGATTTGCATGCCCCTCCACTGCCACGCTCACCTCTTTCTTTCCTGCAGCTGTGCCTGCCCCTTCCCTCCTGATATTTCCTTATTCCTTGTTAGGGATGATGCTGCAGTGAGGGTGGTGGTAGGGGAAGGAAATCTGGGGTGGGCAGGAGGATGTAGCGCAGTGGCACCAAGGACAGAAGCACAGCTGCAGAAGGAGAAGAAATTTCAGGCCTCAGGAGAATGTGAATGCCACAGATGCATGATGGTAGTAGCATTTTTCCACTGGAGAAATGTCCCTGCGATGCCATGGAGTTTTCCTAGTCCTGTTCTTTAAGTCAGAGGGTGGCGAAGGGTGTGCCACCCAATGCACTAGCCAGCTGCTTGAATAGGAGTTCTGTTCTAGGGCATTCTCAAGTACTGAGAATGTAACACGATAGCCTGTACCCTGTAACACCGGCCAACTTATGACCATTCTCCTCCTTCCTGTCCCATGGAATCAGAAACATCTAGAATGCAATCTGACTATTAACATGGTTGGACTTGTTGGAAAAGTGTGTAGAAACCTTAAAAATCAGCGTTTACATTCTAAATTGCTTGCTCGCGCGCGCTCCCTCCCTCCCTCCCTCCCTCTCTCTCTCTCTCTCACTCACACACACACACACACACACACACACACACACACACACGGCACGCGCGCGCAAAGAGATGCATACTAGAGTGATAAACAAAATCAGCCTTTTTAAAAGTATAAATCTCAAGCTTCTTTAGTAAAATACAAGAAAAGATATTTTAATATAGTTGCCATTCATACACATTGCATGTATTTTGTATTTGCGCATCCATTCTGGAATACAACATGTTAAAATGTGAGGTGGCTTTGAGGTGCCCGCCTTTAAAGGGCTGTAGTTTTCCTGAGGGCTTTGACAAAAAGAATTGGGTCTTCCACTTTTTGAAATAAATAATGGGGATCTAATTGCTTTTCTGGATCTGACCTTTTCTATTTCTGCAGCATGCCTTGTTCAAACTGATGCCTCAACTAAGACGGCCTTGAACAGGATACAATGCAGGTGATTATTCCCTGCTTGTCACCAATACTTGTTCTCAGTGGTGTACTGCTTCTGATATGGAGGTTCCTCTTGAGCATTAGCCATGATAATGATTGATACATACATCTGCCTTCCATGAATTTGATAAATATCTGGGATGTGGGACAGCCTGATTTTGCTGACATTCCTAGAGTCCAGGAGAGGGCAGTAATGCGCTAGTAAAAAGTCCTGGACTGCACAGAACTCTGATTAGAAGTATATATCGCTAGCATGGTTGAACACCTCTCTTGCTACTGCACATCTGCCTCTTTGAGGAAGGTTTTGTACACAGATTATTTACAATTTACAATCTCACCCCCAACATGAATGTACACTTTCAAGTGGTTGCCTCTTACAGTTAAACCATGAGGCCAGTATTTATCTAAAATATTGGGAAAGAAAATATCCAAAGACTCTTTCAGCTGTCCTGAAATCAAAAGTATATTGACCAACTCATTGTATGACGCTTCCTTACAGGGACTGGTGTCCGTTCTGCCCAGTACTGTATACTTGGGAGTGGCTTTCTAGGGTCTCTGTCAGAAATGCATCACACCACTCCCCTGTGTAACTGAGAATGACTGAAACTTGGGCCTTGTGCGTATGTGAAGCAAACATCCTTGCACAGAGCTACTCCTTCACAATAGGCATCTTGCTACAAGGTATATGACCATTAAAGTGAGCAAGTGGAAGTCATGGCTCTGTGTTGCAATGTCTTTCTATCACATAAGACAGGGGTCCTCAAACTTTTTCAACAGGGGGCCAGTTGAAAGGCAACAATGGGCATGGGTGTGCTGGGGGGGGGAGACGGGCACAATCGCGGGTGCACTCGGGGGAGACTGATGTGATTGCGGGCACTTGCACGGTGAGATGGCAGTGGTGAACGCATGCGTGGTGAGGCAGCAGCTTGCTCACTTGGAGTTCGTTTTCTCTGAGTGAGTTCAAAAGCTCTGAGGCAGGCCGGATAAATGGGCATGGCGGGTCGGATCCGGCCCGCGGGTCGTAGTTTGAGGACCCATGACATAAGAGAAGGGCGATGCTCTTTAGGGCTCCAGCCACCTTAAAATGTGGACTGTTCTTCAAACCCCGTGGAAGACTGAAAGGTGAGTTTCAGGAGAAGAACACCTTCTCCCTCCTATGTGCACACTTCTTGAGGCCGTCGGCTGCTATGCTGTATAGTTCAAGAGGCCTGAAGCTCTACACCTGAGCATTTTATATCAATATAACATCAAGGTAGGAAAACAATTCTGAAACCGCATTCAGTGAGGTATTAGTGTGCTGGGAAGGTGGCATGCACAGATGACTCTTTTCACAACACAGTCTGGTTTGCACTATCACCACAGCCCACTATGGCTTATTTAGATCATGGTGGGTTGAGGCATGTGCTAGTGACTGTTATGGATATTCAAGCCATGGTGGGCAGGTGCTG